CAAGGCCGGCCAAGTGAAAGATGGTGGCAGTGACTGAGTTCAGAAAGCTGTCCATGACAAGGAAGAAATCTAGCCTGGAATGTGGCCAGCGACAGCAAGGTGGTGCAGGCTGAGTTGTATCAGACGCAACAGCAGGAGCAGGTGGCGGTGCAGCAGGCAACAGAGTAGAAGCTGCAGATGCCAGCACTAATGGCTGGACAGGCTCCTCAGACCCTCCAGCTGATATGACGTGATGCTGGCTGGGTTCTCCTTAACCCCCAACTAGAACAGATGAAAGGCCAGATGGTACAGAAACCCCTGGCTGAGACGAAGCTATCTGGAGCTGCGTTAGACAGCCAGCCAGCTCGGGTTGCCTGTCAGGCTGTCCATTGAGGGCAGGATGAACTTGCCTGTGCTGTCGGTGGGGGCTGCTGTAGAGTGTGTGGACAGCTCGCACAAGCTCTCAGCAGAGACAGGAGGCTGAGACAACCCAGCAGAGCACTCAGTGAAAGCTGCTGTGGACCATTGGGGAGGCTCGAACAGGCTCTCAGCAAAAACAGAAAACTGAGACGCCTGGCAGAGCTCCCAGGGGAAGCAGCAGAGGGAGGCTGAGAGGATTCAGAGCTCTCAGCAGATGAGGGCGGTGGTTGAACAGGTGGCTGAGTAATTGACTTCACTGGTGACTGAGCTAATGAGTTACCTGGAAACAGAGCTAATGTCTGATGCCGAGAACTGAACAGGTAACAGGGCTGGTGACAACACTGGAGCCTGAACTGGTGGCAAAGCAAGTGAATGAGCTAATAACTGAGCTACTGACTGAACTATGGACTGCAGTAGAGGTTGTAGCGGTTGTAGTAATGATGGTGTAGGTTTGCTTACAATAACCAGTCCGTTGTAACTGTATGCCAGGTGTTAATTAGCAGCCAACATGAACGTTCGCACACAGGTAACAGGAAGCACTGCCATAGCCAAGTTAGAACCACAGCAACATTTCCTGGAAACCTCCGTAACTGCAGCAACGGCAGGCAGTATGGACAAACATAACATCACTGTTATCTACAGATGGTAGTGATGGTGGTTGTAATGGTGGCTGAGCTAAGCCTTCTGAGCCTTAAGAACACAAGGAAAACAGCTGGACGGGCTCAATTGAGCTTCCAGCGGAGACAGGAATGGGTGCAGGCACCTTCTGAACACTAGCCGCTCCCATCCGAGGATTAGGTACAGGTATGGAGACAGACTGTGCCCTGGCAGTATGGGCTCAAATTGTGGTCATAAATATTTTGCACTTGTAAATCAGGATTTGTATGTGTAAAAAGAATTTGTGTGAGTGCAAAAAAGATTTGTGTGAGGAAAAAATACGTGTGAAACTCTACACTCGTTTCAAGTTACAAGTATGAATTTTGACCCTATTTTTCTTCCTTTCATCTGATTGGCCAATGTCATGTCAATCACAAATTTAACAATCCAATCAGAGAACAGATGGGTTTGGCTATCGGAAGGGTGCTGCCCTCACCCGAGGAACTGGTACAGGTGAAGGAGAAGGCCGGGCCCTAGCTGCCCTGGGCACAGAGACTGGAGGCAGAGGAGGTGGCGCAGAAAACACTGACACATTCAATATAAGCTAGACTTTTCTACCACCACAAATCATAGTGTTTGAAATTACAGTGTCTGAGTTCACACGACAAGGCTTGGAAAACATTGATTCACCAAAGATAGATTCAAAATCCTTTCTGCCATGAAAAAATAAATTTGAAACAACAGTCTTTGATTTATTGTTGTTAACAGTCTTAAATCTTACAATAAACTATGACCAAATATGGGGTGGGTAACAGATAACATGACAAAGGGTGACAGAGGACTTAAATACATACATGACGTGATCAGGGGAAGTCGTGACACATGAGGACACAGCTTACCTGAATGAAACATAATGACAACACAGGAGAGGTTAACACTGGACACTCTAACATGAGACACGGACCTTCAAAGTAAAACAGGAAACATGACAGGCACAGACTAGACACTGAACTCAAACTAAGAGCAAAACTCTTAACCAGAATAACACTGGATAACAGGATTATAATGTTCAAAACAGGACAACTAATGAATCAGAAAATAAACCATAATGTGGAAAAAACACCAAAACACAAGAAACTGAAAATGCTGGGTCAAAATGACCCAGAACCATGACACGATGTAATAATTTAAATTTGAGATTAAAAATGAATGACTCGACTTTTAGTGATCAAATTTCCTTAAGCTTTTTACTTTTGTTTTTTATTGCAGGCTAATGAACTTTCTGCACAATTTGTCAAGTACACAAGAAGTGATTCAAAACAAGGAGAAGGCAATGAAGGAAAAAAGTGGTTTTGGCCACTTGTGAAGTGTGTGACTGTCAGGGTGCCAAACAATCCTTTTCTCCAGCATGTCACACTTGTGGACCTTCCTGGAAATGGTGACTGTAACAAGAGCAGAGATCAGATGTGGAAAGGGGTAATTCACATTTACTGTTCTTTGCTTATACTGTGTTGTCTGTAAACAGTCATCTTTCAATGAAGCACTGAGACATGTTATTCTCCTTTCAGATAGTTGGAGATTGTTCTACTGTGTGGATTGTGACTGAAATTAATCGAGCAGCATCAGAGAAAGAGGCCTGGGAGATCCTGGAAAGTGTCAGTAGTCTGATTGGAAATGGTGGCGAATGTCAGCAAATTCATTTTATCTGCAACAAGTCTGATCTTCTTGATAATTCAGATGATCTGTAAGTAAATTTTGCATGCTGACCAACTACAGGGTGTTTCCATGTAAGATAAAACCCAGGCTAGACAAAGAATGAAGCACAGGGTTGAGCCTTTGTTGTAATGAATGCAGAACATTTGGCTCAAAGGGAGTCTCATAGGCAGTTACAGTTTTATAAAGTTGAAGATGGTGGACTGAGTAATGAACAGAGTAGCCAGAGTAGAATAACGGATAATGGGACAGGCAGTGGAATTTTTTAGTTCTAGAGGGACAGCAAGAGAGAAGAGGGTGAGTAATAACAGGAGAGCAGGAGGAGAAAGTGATGCAAATGACATTATGGCAGCTTTAATGTATGTTGCACATAAGGTATGATATTATTGGAAATCATGCATATCCTGGTCCTTACAGTCGAGTAATTCAAGAATTCTACATTGTAAAGAATAAGTAGCATTGCACTGTCCTTCAGCAACAAAGTTAAAGTAGTTGCTGTGACAAAAAAGACATTTGTATGTAAGCATGTCAGCGTGTTGATGTCACGATCCAAATAAAACATGCTGGCCTTTCTCCGAGTGCTTTACGAATAAATGCTACAAATCTCCCATATTTGGAAGTTGTTTGTTTTTTTTAAAGAGAAATGCATTAAACAATTAAAGTCATTTTATCATAAATGACTGGACCTGCAAAGCAGACTCGCACAACTGAAGCTTAAGAGGTTTAATTACAATGAAACAAATATATAAAATGAACTGGTGTATTAGCGAGAGTATCCAATAACTCGCAGGGACGAAACAAAATCAAATGTTTTTAGAGAATTAGGAGTTCTTCTTACTATGTTTACAAACACGGCTAAGAGGGAGTCTGTAGTGAACAGGTAAGTATTTTGGTAAGAGACTCTGACAACCCAGGGTAGTAAGTAGGAGCATGAGAGGATATTAACCAGACTACACATTTAAGACTAGAATGCAACAAACTGGAGTACCAGCACCATCAGGCAGAGAAACATTGCTACAGCCAGTCTTTAAATACAATCTATGTGTTAACAAAGAGTTACAGGTGTGCAAAAGTCAGGCAAAGCTCAACTTGGTCAGAAAGGGAGATTTTACACATTTCACCAAAAAAGGCCAAGAATAAAACAAAACCACCCAGCCTGCCCCAGATTAATGATGGTGATGATAATAGTGATGATGGTAACAGTACATATATGCACATTTGTTGTAGTTCATCAGCTGATATCCATGATCGAATAGTTAAAAGAAACATGCAAGCCAAGGATGGAGTAAGGAAAGAATTCAACAAACGAAGCAAGATTAATGTGAGTTTTATAGGCTGATAGAAAATAATACAGACTCTCCACAGTTGCAAAGATGCTTTAAAATTAAATCATTTTTCCGCAGAAACATTTCCTTGATGACAGTTTCAGAGTGTTCACAGTGAGCTCCAGAGAGTTCCTAAAAGGGAAGCATCTAAGTCCAGAAGAGACTGGTAGGTGAAGTCTTGATGCACATGTTGTTTTAGTTTGCTGTGACTGAAAGAAGAATTATTTAATTTGAATTATAGTACGTAATGTCAAACTGTGGCACTGAAATTTCTTCTTAACAGAAATAACCAAACTTCAGGGATTTTTGCAAGATCTCAATGACTGTCACTCAGAGACAATAAACTACGTGAGTGGAGCTTATGGGATTCTGTCTTTGATTCAAAGAGCCAACTCCAGAGGAGTGGTAAGGTCAAGTAAAAGATACACAACAACATTCGCTTACATGTTGGCATTTTTCATTTGTCTTTGTGTTTACAATTCTGCTTTTTGTTTATTTATTAATTTATGAGTTATTAAGTGATCGATTGATTCATGTATTTTTGCTGTTCTATTTTACTTCTCAGGTTCATTATTCAAGGAGAGTGACTTTTAAAACCAAGTGAAGTTCATAAATCTATAAGAAACGACAAGTATTTTTTATGGTTTTATCCCTTCAAATATTTTTCAGGGTGATAAAAAAGGCAGGATTTGTGCAAAACTTGAGAGAATAATGATCCTCCAACTTGATAATGTCAGAAAAGAAATGGAAAAGACCTTTCTGGCTTTCGAAAAATGTCTTGCTGATGGCGTTGAGAAATCCAAACGTTCATATGGAGAAAAACTCAAGAATTTCTTGTATCAAGTATGTATTTTAACTCTAGTTGTAACAAAAAACACATTTTACACAAATATATATTTAAATAATTGTTTTGTGTTCCAGGGAAGGAACAGTGGTTTTTGTGGGGTACTGAAGCGGGTTGTTGAGAATGGTGGTGTCTACAAACCAAAGAACAAGACCCTAATTAACCTTAACATGAAGTTGGCTTCATGTCTGACTGACAGCATTGATGAAGAATTCAGAAAGACCTTCCTGTAATAAAAAAAACAAGTTCTAAACAGTCACATAATATTATCCAAAATATTTAATTTATTACATACCACGTTTTTAACATAATGATTATAAAATTGCCACTTCTTTCATTATAAACCAAATTTTTTACATGTTTTAGAAATGACTCAGAATGTGGAGCATTCAACGGAGTCATCAAGACATTTTCACTTAACACTGATTCTCTGATTGAAAAGTACAAAAATACTGAACTGCAGCTCAGATTTCTCAAGACAGAGGTAAGAGATGAAACTTTCCTATACATCAATTCAGACAGTAAAGCACAGTAAAAGGAAAAAATGAAAAAGTTAACATTAGTTTTGTGAATTGTGATTTAAAATGATGTTGATCCATATTTCATGTTTTGTCTCTAAGGAAGAAAAAATGAAGGCAAAACTGAACAGAATCATCCGGAAACAGAAGAAAAAAGTCTACAGCAGTCTGACAGAGACAATTGAGAACATTATGGAAGAAGGCTACAAGAGTAAGAGATAATATTATTCACAACTTGGCACTAAAACACATATTTATATTCATCATTATTCGGCATGAGAAATTTGAAGCTTTCTGTCTTATTGTAGAGGCTGCAGAATTTGAAGGAGAAGGCATGCTGTACTGCATGAGGGAGACTATTAAGAACCATGTGCACTCAAAGAAGGACATGTTTGAGCAGGCAAAAAATACCATGTTGGAGAAGTTGCACAGTTTAAGGGTTTGTCATGTTTTATGAAGAAATATTATGATCGTATTTTGTTTTAGCTCACCTGAAGGCTTTTTCTATGTTCAACTGGATTAGACTTATACAAAAATTTATGTTTCCATTTATATTTTTAATCCAGTCTGAAAAAATTCTAAATGTCATTGTTTTTGACTTTAACACATTTTTATCTGTGATAAGTAATTCGTTTTTTCAAAATAGGAAAACATCCTGGACATTCTGGAGAAAACTACGAAGGAATCCATTAAATGTTCATTTAAAACTGATGGGAGCTTACTTCCAGGTAAACAGGCTAGTTTGCTGTAATTATATTCCTTTTCTCTTTATCTGTGCAATCTTCTACCTGATACCACTGGGGTTTTACCTATTTGTCTATCTATTTTTTAAAATTAACTTATAAATTACCAAGTCACACACATAATTATGTGAAACACTGGGGGGGAAACAATTCAAAAAGTGTTTTGTTTTTCAGATGTTTCAACAGAGCTTGATATGGTGAAGAAACATTATGATCAACTTGCAGGCACTCCAGATGATGAAGTGTCCCTTACTGGGTAACTCCTAATATGTTATCAATGGTATTATAATAAATATTTTTAAATTTTTTTGTCCTTAACAGTGTTAACATTTATGTTAAGTATGCTGATCAGCATAGGCTACAATGGGTCCATTTTAGGGGAATCTGCAATTTAACATTTAAACTAATTATAGCAATTAGTATTCTTTAGGGTGAGGAGTTATACAATCAATATTAGGATTTAAAAAATGTAGACATTATATTATTTCCATTTCCATTGGTTATTGCTCATTGTCAAACCTTTGTTCTTGGATGTTTCAGATTTGCTGACTGGGTAGAAACAGCAGAAGCCTGGTCACAAACAGGTTTTCCCAGAGGAAGTGCAGATTAAAACAAACAAAAACAAAAAAACATCTAATTTGGTCTCAGTAATTTTTTATTTGTTTTCATTTGGTCTTTTTAAAAGTTGTTTGGTGATATTTGACTTTGATTTTGAGTATGTCATTACCAGTGATTTTGGATTTTTATTTCTGTAAGACATGCATCTTGTAATGATTCAAATCTTGAGGCTGACAAAGAAGTTTGAGGAAAAACTGCAAGAAATTTACATCACATCACTCTACATATATTTCAAATCTATTTTAATCATTTTATTTTATGTGCTTAGTTATGGTTCATCCAGATGACAATGGCAATTATATAGCACATTTCAGTACATGTAAAATCAGTCTACTTAACACAGAAGATAAAAACATGGTAACACTTATATATATATATTATTATATAATACAGCCCACAACTAAGGCGTAGTTCCCCTGTAATTAAATGGAATATTGATGTATTTTATCTAAAACTACAATTAAAATTGTAATTTTATTTACCTACAGATATTTAACGGTAGGGATTTCTAAAATGTTTAGAACTATAATATAATGACTCCTGCAATTTATCTTGGAAACGTTGATTGGTCAGTTAGGGTAAGTAGCTCCATCTCCATGCAGCTGCAGGACTAGTTTTATCTCTTTACATTGTATCCATCCTCAAATGTTTAATTTCAGTAGTTCTTTTCACTATGGAATTAATTGTCTGATTGTGAGGTGAAAAGTAGTTTTTCATCTCAACCTTTCACACACAAATATGTGTTTTTTGAAAGGTTTTCATACATTAGAGCCACAGCAGAGGGTGTTTGTTTTGAAATTATTGATTTATTTGTAAGGTTAGAGTTTCTGTTTTTTTTTCAAGGACACATTCACACTTCTTGTCATGCTCTTTATTTGTTGCTTCCTTGCTCCCAACAACCTTTCTAAACTGTCATCTGTGTTTATTCTTCACAAAAAATATTGAAATGCTATTTTATTAAAATGGCTTATATTATGTCCTGGTCTCATCAGTTTTGTTTTCTTCAGTAATTACAAAGTCCACACTGAATCTCTGCTGTGCATCTGTGGTCGTGTGAAGCTATATTAATGTAACAGCATGTCAGTGTGTAAACAAAGATCTTCGTTAAATGTCAAAAACAGGTTGTGTCTGAAGGCTGCTACTTTTGTGAATATGTGACAAATTATGTTAGAATTATAATCAATTATAAAAAAAATGTTTAAATCTTGGTGAACAATGCTCTGAGAAAGAATCATTATCTAGAAAATGACTTCAGGAAATAGCTGTGTTATGAAAGGCGTTTTACAATATGTACCAGTACAGACTTGCCCCTGACGGTTAAGTTGTCCTGGGGCAGGAACCATTTTTCCTTGGCTTGGCTTCAAGACTCTAGGATAGGAATACTGGATGTATGTAAATAACTTCTGGCCACTATAATCCAGAAATTACATAAAGGGAAACAGAAAAAGAAAAAAAAAAGTAATAAAATCCCA